TGGGAGATAAAAAAAGGGAAAAAAAAGAAAAAAAGAAAGAAAAAGAAAGAAATGATAGCCTACAATGCCTCAAATGTTATTTTCGGACGTCTAGAACACAAAAATTTCGCGGGGGGAATGAACCCGGACCCCCTAGGACATTGTTGTCTCGATCGGCCCAAATTTCGGCCCCCCTTTCGGACATCTCTGGATTCGCCCCTGCCAAAAGTGGTCTCAAATTGGAAGGCGAAATGTAATTGGGTGAGAGTCATTATTGTTTTGTATTATTGTCTTGGATATTTGAAGAACAGAGCTAAAGATATTTATAGTTTAGTTTTTTAAATTAATTTTCTAATTTATGTATTTTATATGATCTAGTGGCAGCTTAGACAATATTTGTTTTTTTGTTATATTTATTTTTTTGTATTTTTTATTTCTTGCTCTCATTAGGATCCTGAACCACATTTTATTTTCATGTTCAACTGACTTTCTATATTGTAGGTTTTTTTTTAACAATTAGGTAGTTTATGAACTTTGGTTGTAATGTATTTTGATGAACAATTTCTTAATTGATAAAAAACATATGTGATTAATTAATCCTAATAATTTATGAAATAATATAAATGCAAACACAAATGCAATAATTCTTTTTCTTCCACCAGAAAATTCCTTACCTAACTTCAGTACGGTATGATACATCATTTTTGTCTGCCCGTATTCTTGTGTAGAGGCCCTAAAAACCAGACAATATTACTTGATACAACACTGAATTTTGCATTTATAATGATAAAAATCATCATCATTAATTCAAATATTGTTTGAGATTACTGTCATATCATAGATCATTATCACTACAATTAGGCCTAAAAAATAAATTGTTTGTTTGCCCTTCTTTTTTTTAAATGATAAAAAGGGGCGGGTGGGAAAGATTTTTTTTTTTTTAAGATTACTCATCAGATGGAATAAAAATAACCACAGTTGACATTTTGCAAATGAATGAACGCCTAAAATAGCAAAATCTTACATCAGACAACAACTTTAGACAACTTTTTAGGGCATCTGGCAGAGAAATAAAGATCAATTCACTCACATTTTTTTTTATTTGTAAAGAAAAAAGCTAAACAAAAAACTTGTTTCAAGTTTTTTTTTGTTTTGCCACCCCTAATTCCTTTTTAGTGAGTTAGGGGTGAGTGAGGAGGGCAAACAAACATTTTTTAATGTTGGCCTTATATTATAAAGATCACCATGAGAGTCATAATTATCTTTTAAGAAACTATATTTTACAGATTCTCGAAATGGTCAGCTGATATTTAGGGTGATTTAAAAAAAAAGAAAGTCTCATTATGCAGTTTATGGAGTGGAGATGTCTTTTCACAGGATTGTTAACCGGGGAGGGGGGGGGGAGGATTGCTATAAGACAGTCTTAACGTTTTAATAGCCAGCTATAATCATGATGTTTTACAGCAATGGTCTTAGCCAAGTGACTTTAGTAAGACCGTCTAAGTGATATAGCCGGCTTTATTCAAGGAGTTAAGACCACCAGTTAAGACCGTTTTATAGCAATCCGCCCCTGAACTTGGAACTAAAGAACAAGCATCGTAACAACAAAGCTACTCTCCCAACACCAAAAAACATCAACTAAATACAATAAATTTAAGCAGCATTCACATCGGATTTGAACTGCAATTTGGACCACATCTCCAAAGCAATGAAGACCAGCGTTTCTATTCTTACACAATGATTTGTTTTTTCTGATTGGTTCGGTAGGTCGTCCGATCCTAAAATTTGAATACGGTGTGATTGCAACTTTATGATGTTTTGTAAAAATATTTTTACACTAGTGGCAGTCGCAGTTATTCAAGTGTATTCATTGACTGCAGTTTTTGTAAAGTAATTTAATGACCTTTGATTATTATTATTAGAACTAATATTTCCATCAAAAAATGCTGGTATTCAACAATGTTTACCTCGCATATCCGTGGTATCAATCCTGCTCCATCCTAAAAGCAAACAGAAATAACATCATGAATAACAAAGATGAAAAATTCAACATAAAATCAATAATTTTAGCTAGAAGCTATTGAAGCAATAAACGTTAAATTTGTTTGTACTGTATTCAATTCTGTAACATAACAGTATTCGGCCAAAATGTCCCTGTCTATGTAAACATGATGGAGACACACACACATTCAAATTAATATTTATAAACCATGATTTTAAAAAATTAAGTAATTATCTATAGTTGTGAACGTAAAAGTATAATGTAAAGACAAGGATGTATAAAATAAAAATAATTTGTATAGACCTCCTTGGTAGAACAGTATAGTTATATATTATAGTGTAATATAATAATTACATAGTAATAACATATTGAATATGCAGTATTATAGTATAGTATATAGTAGAATTATATGGTATATAATAGTATATAAGATATGATATAGTGCAATGTAGTGTACAGTATTAGTAAATATTATACTGTTGTTAGTATAGGCTATGAATGTAAAAATTGAAATTTAAAAAAACAGATAATATTGCATTAAATAATTAAAAAAAATATTAATAATTTTCTTCAAGGTAGGTAACATAGATTATAGGATGAAAACTTTGCTAAGGGTATGAGATTAAAGAATGATGCAATTGTGTGTTGTATAATCCATAATGCTCAGGATGTTCACAGTAACTATGTTTCATTGGAGATTTACCATAACAGCAAAAAAGAAAGAGTCATGATGTCATAGCATTTACACAGAAATCACACAACACGAGTAGCTAATGGGGACAGATGCAAAGTACAAAAGAGAGTTTGACTTCTTAGAAGGCATATCTGCATGGTGTGACACAGCAGTGGGCCTGATACATAAAACCATGAACTTACCGGTTGACCCATCATTGTAAACGTTTTGCCTGAGCCAGTTTGGCCATATGCAAATATGCAAGCATTGTAACCTTCGAATGCGGCTTTCAAAACATCTGTGCCTAGGTCCTTGAAAACCTGCAAATAAACAAGAACAATCAACAATTGTGTTCAAAAGTAAATTAATTTCAATACCATTTACAAAAGGCAAGCTTATTAGAAAGCATGGGTATTAATATCACTGTAACAAATACTTTACAAACTAAAAACAACTATATGATTTGTTTAAAAACAGATCTATTGTGAATGACCATTCTAATACCTGTTTTAATCAATATCATGAGGACAGTAACATTTCCTGTATTTCATGCATAACTTGTGATACTGATAGTTTATTGTGTACTGCATAACAACATTACATGAACAACAGAATTCTAAATAACAAGCTTGATACAAAGCACATACTATAGATCACTATTTTTTATTTTATACATAAATAAATATATATTATATATATATATGAATATGTAAATTCTATATTATTTATCTATGTTTTATATAATTAAACACATATTAAATAAATTAAGGTATAAATATGTACCTAAATAATGTATCATATACTATATTCATTATTATAAAAAAATTAATTTTAATTCTGGATTGCTCTTGAATTATGTTTCAGGACATGTTAGATAAGCATCCCTAATATCCCCCACCATCAGTATGCTTTTTTTTCTTACAGTTTTCATTTAATAATTTCTTAAAGTATTGAATTTTGGATATATCAAATTAATTGATCAATCAAAATAATTTCCTCTTTTCATTTACATAATAATGAAGATTAGTAGACAGTCTTGAGCAACATTGTCTTATACGCAAAATAATAAATGGACTAACCACCTTATTAATAATAACACCAGCAACAACAACTACAGTAACAACAACAGCAAAAAATAATAACAGCAATTAACAAGGCTATTAGTACTTATACCACAATACTGTACAATGTTACTAATTATGCATTGAGAATACAGAACAGCCAATCAGACATGTGACTTACTCGTTCTTGTGAGGCAAAATGAGGATCCTTCGGGGATGCTGACCAGTATGAAAAATCATACGTGAAGTTCTTGACCCGTTCCCGCCCCTCTACCGTCCCATTGCCCGCAATCTACAGTCAGTAAGAAAGAAAAACCATGTAAATGTTAAGATTGTTTTTACCAGCTCTCGCCCCTCCACCATCGTACTGCCTGTAAGGCGAGAATTTTTTATACCTTGTTTTGTGAACCCGCCGCTTGTCAATATTGATGATTTCGAATAAAAATAAAACATTATTTTTGGCCAATTAGCGCAAAAGTCTCGCCTGAAGCTACTGTACAACAAAGAAAAACCATTTAAATTTATTTTATTTATTTTTTTATTTATTTATTTATTTTTTTTAATTTATTTTTTTAAAATTTTATTTCAATTTTAATTTTTTTTACTATCTCTCACATGACAATCATCCCATGGCCTGCAATTTACAGAATAACAATAACAACTAACATTCAAATCCAAGCCACCTACTGTACTCTACTACAACATTAAAAAGAATAAATGTAGGGGTTTCTTTTTTTCATGGTCTCGCTACTTCCCTATCCCAATGCGAGAAATAAAAAAAAAAAATAAAAAAATCGGAATTAGAATCCGAGTATTACATAGTTATTGCCAACTAGATTCAATAAATTAAATTAAAATAAATTTATAACAGAAACGCACCAATCCCATGTACAGAAATATGAATATTTCAACAATATTATCTAGATTTTGTAGGATGGAAATAATAGGTTGATTACTACGGTGTAATAATTAATAATTAATTTCTTTATGAATAATTTCTTTTTAGCTAGCTCTTCTTCCTTGTTAATGTACAGTATAATCTGACAAAAGAAAATGCTTTAACATAAACAAACACATAAATTATAATGAACAAGGAAGTTCTTTAACAGAAAATAATTTTAAGATGAAAAATTAACGAGCTTGATTGACACATAAGCTCGCTTTCATAAATGTTGCTCATCAAACTATGATAATTAACAAGATTAGAAAACACCGCCATCATTTAGTTCTATTCGATCAGGTAGAAAATCATATCAGAACCATTCAAAATGCTCAGTTAGATGAGAAATGAACATTGCAATGGAATTGATTTAACTGTGAATCAAGAATTTGTACACCTGCACAATACCATATACTGTACTTAAGGAGAAATTCATCTTTCTTAAGTTTTTTTTTTTTTTGTTAAATAGGATTTTGATGTTAATAAATTAATAATATAAATAACTAACTGACAGTAGTTTCGATGCTTCATTGAGATTCCAGGATTTCAATGTTCCCAACATTTTTTCACTGTTGTTTTTATGTTGATAATTATTTATGCATAATAGAATTATTTATAATTAATAATATAAACAATTAAATTTGACACAGTAGTTCCAATGCTTCATAGATATTCAAGGACTTCCTAGTATTGGATAAAATATAATCAAGCCAAAATTAAAGAAAACATTACAAATACATGTGTATTTTATAAACTTGGCTTATATTTATTGTACAGTATTCTTGAGGACATTCTATCTACAGTACCAAATATTGAGCAGAAAATGTTATAGACATAGGGAACAAGATATTGGATGATAAGCAGAAATAGTCTTGGGGCTGGTTCAGTTTAAACTTTTAATTGGGCCATTGGGTGTTTTATAGCCGAAGTTACTATTCACATCCAATAAAGCAACTTCGAATAAGATGCAATATACACATCATGTTACTTTTAGCTAAAATTTAATTTTAAAATTCAGTTGGAAACACTAGGTACAATACAAATACATTTCCTCAGAATGAAACAAAATAAACAAAATTATTAGTCTAGGGTATGCAAAACAAATAATGTCAGCATGCTCTCTCAAATCCAGGGATCAAAGTTAACAAGATAAGCTGATATGTGCCTTGTGTCATTTTTCATAAGAGTTCTATCAACAGTGGCATATCCAGGATTTTGAAAAGTGGGGTCCTAAATAGAATACACTTTGAACACAGTGTATCAATGGCTATAGCGACTACAAAATAAATTGGCTGTTAATGTCCAAGTACTGTAACTTACTGTACTTTGCAATTTATTTATTACTATTATTACTGTATCATTATTATTATTATTATTATTATTATTATTATTATTATTATTATTATTAATATTATTATTATTAATTTACTATTTATTTTCTTCAAATTTGAACAAAACTACACAAATCTATGCAAATCTATGGTGATGTTGGTAGTCTATGAGTGGATACTTACTTGGATAAACTGACAAATTGCCTATTCTTTCTCATATATCAGAACACCCCTCGAAAAATAATAGAACAGTCGACTCCTGGCGCCAAGCTCAAGCGGCCCCGCCACCATGCAACTTCTTCATTCGGACTAGACTATACCACAGAGGGGACTTTCGAGGTGTTCACTTTCGTGACTCTAAAAAGAATGAGAAAGTTGCATGGTGACGGGGGCCGCTTCAGCTTGGCGCCAGAATTTGAATGTTCTATTATTTTTCGAGGGGTGTTCTTATATGAGAAAGAATAAGTAATTTTTCGGTTTATCCAAGTAAATATTCACGAAGTAGACTGGGGGTGTTCAGGAACCGTCATCTACCATTGGGAGGTCAGGTGGCGATGTCAGTGTTTGTGCAAACAGATAGGGGCTGTATTCAGATATTATTGTAGTAATTTTTGTAAAAATAAAGTGACAATGAATGCATTTTCGAGCATCCAGTGAAATATATTTTTCCGGAGAGGGGTGATCCCCAAACCTCCTAGAGTGAGGAGTTATCAGAACAAAGTCTCACGCCTAGATTTGTCTACACTTGAAATCTCTGATGTGGTTTACAGGGGCATTCCACAGTATTTTTTTTGTCACGGATGGGATATTTTTGAGAATATAACCAGTTACATCTCAGTAACTATAGGTTATAAGACTTATAGTATGTTTAATGTTTACATGTATGCCTAAGTTAAATTTTTGGGCGAGAAAAATTGAAATTTAAAAATTTTTTTTTTATTTTATGATAAAAAATGTATGTGTCTCAGACGGGACAAAATTTGGACATGACTTGCAGAAAGGTTTACATATTCAAATATTTCTCCTCATCTAAAAGACATATTAAATTATTTTTTGTTTAATACTATCCCCAGATGATTGTTTTACATGTCTAAATGTTTACCAAAAAATCATAAATATTTATAAAAAAATATGAATTGTGTGCTGTCACGGATGGGACATTTCATAATGTCACGGACGGGATGCTTTTGTCCAATGAGAGAAAAACCATACTTTTCAATATAAAAAGGGATAATAATTATTCTCTGATATCAATGCAAGATTTTACTTACTTTGCTACCTTTGTTCCTCTAATTCAGTAGCAAAGAAACTTGTATTGTGTCCCATCCGTGACAAAATTGTATAGTCTGTGATATAAACTGTCCTGTTTGTGACAATTTGTTTTTTAAATACTATATTATAGGCAGGTTAAACAAAAAATTATCTAAAAATTGGTTGATAAAATATTAAGTTACAGTCTCTAGTAGGAGAAAATTGAATATTATATTTTTCATAGCATTACTTTTCTAATGAATGTAAAAAAACCTCCTCAAATGTCACGGACGGGAAAATTATGAATTTTGATGTGTAAGTATGAAATTAATAACACATTTCATCTAAACACATGATTTTGTAATAGAGGAAATACAAGTTAACTGTGTCTGCACCAAAATTTTGTTATAAGATTTACTGTTCAAGAAATATTTAGCATTTTGTAATGACCCATCCGTGATGCAAAATATACATTTTTAATATTTAATATTAAATAACTCAAACAATATCCATCAAAAAATGAAAAAGTTTTTTTCATCTAACTTTGATATATCATCTTTGAGAATTAGCAAAAATTTATATTAATAATTGAAAATGAAAATTGAACCCTCACGGACCAAATACTGTGGAATGCCCCTACAATATTGCTTTTTGGATCGGTGAACTTGACTCCAAAATATACTATACAAGAAAACCTTGACACAGATAACTATAGTTCTTAATAGTACAATGCAATGAATCATCTTCTATATGAATTTTCACTGGTGCATAGCAAGTAGATAATTGTATACAGTTCATCAAACATTAGGAACGGGCCCACATACACAGTAAAGCAAGGTTTTAATACAATGCAGATGTGAACTTGATAAAAACAAGTTTGCCACGCCTATGGGAGTAGAGAGGTTGTTAAGTGTGGCTCAATTACAATACTTACAGTAATTTATGATGATGAAATTATAAATTATAGTATTATAATTATCATTAGTAATCATCTATAACAAAGTTTTAATACAATGCAGGTTGAACTTGATAAAAATAAGCAGTTATTTGGCATACCTACAGTAGGAGTACAATACTGTAGGTTACTACTGTACGTTTATAGTGTACATCAATTCCATGACTTGCTGTACAGTAATTACAAATTATTTTATTCTCATTTTTACTACAAATTCAATTCAAGTAATCTTCATTGCAATTTGCAAACAACAATACTAACATTATTAATATTATTATTGATATGTATGTGATATACAGTATAGTACTAATAAAAATAATAATAATAATAATAATAATAATAATCAGAAATTTTACTTAAATGCCTCTAAAAACACAAATCGCATTAACAAAAAAAATTTAATTACCATCTTATTAATATTCCAAATATGTAGATGACATCATATTTTAAAATGCACATCTTGGACAAAAAAACCCTATGAAAAAACATAATTGGTTTTCCGCTAATGTGGCCAGCCCACCACAGACTGTAGAGCAGGGCCTACGCGGCGAATATACTGTATTTTCCGCGCAAAAATGTGGCCATCTATCCATGCATTTTGGAAAATAAGGGCCGATTTCCATGCAGATTTTCCCGAATATTAGGTTTTGACCTAATTTTAATATATAACATAAACAACGTAATACCCAAGCAGAAGTTATGATTCTGTGCACCTATTTCCACGCAAATTTGAGCTGGTTTTTGAGGTATCATCTGCGCAATAAAAAAAACTCTACGGTATGGGCCTACCTTTAGATTAGTAATGCTGGTCTTGTTGCCATTCATGGAAATAATACATTTAGAATCCAGATTGCATTCCCTAAAAAAACATTAAAAAAAACAAAATACCAATATGACAATATCTACTTATTTCGTTAAAATTATA